GTCTGGTATCAGCAGGCTTCAACTTGGCTAAATCAAACTTGTGTTCTCTGCACTGGCAGCAGACAAATCTCTGTTTAGTTAAGTTCATTTGGTCTTAGTTGGGCTGTTCGGTCTGCCTGTATATGCACAGAAGTGGTCAGTCTGCATGCAGAATACAGTGGACATCACCTGTCCTGAAGTTCTGCACTTTCCAGCTTCTGGGTTAGTCCTGAAATATATTCTCTAATTTTTCAGTCAGTAAAACCACAGACTTTCCCCTCACCCTTAGGTACTGGAGGTTGAAGTTAGGGCCTGACTCTTGCTAGGCAGGTGCACTACAGCTTGAGTCACTTTGCCAGCCAAGATGGGAGCTTTTAATGTGTGTCTTAGCTGCTCTTCCCAGAACCAATAAGATACATGAAACTCAGTGTTATTCTCTTCTTCCAAGTGTTAACTTCCCATAGTTCCTACCAGCTTTTTGTCCCTTTTCATGTGTGTGCGTACATTTTTTTTGTTGTTATTCAGAGTTTATAAGTGCTAGAAGTGGGAGGATTAGTCTGATATAAGGTATTCCTCTATGACCAGAAGTGGTACTCCATTTCATTAATGACAGAATAACATTAATTAAACAAAGAAACAAGTGTGAAGCTAAAATTGTGCTGTGAGATCTAATGAGAAGGAATTTGACTTTGCCAGTGTCCCTGTGCTTCTGGAGAACGGAAAGTGAATTATACACATAAAGCCAGCCACCCTGAAGAGGTGATCCCTGTGTTCATTGTCCCAACAGAGAGGCAAGGAAATCTGTCTGCTCCAGCTGTCCAGGTAAAGAATTCCCAAGTCCTCAGACTAAAGGAGCACCCTGGATCTCAAGCAAGCCAAATAAAAATAAGTCCACTTTCAGGCATGTTAAATGAAACTGTAGGACCTCAAAGGTAGAGAATATAAAAGCTACCAGGGTGGAAAAAAACACATCAGGAAATGCTTACTCATAACAAGCACCAGTGCGAAGATGCCAACGCATGGCCGAGTAATATATTCATAGTGCTGAGTGAAAATCACTGTCAACTTCAAAGTCTGCATCATTATCGTTTCATGGTGAGGACGTGATAAAGATATTGCACACATATGGACGTTGAATTAACCACTCATGGGCTCCTCCTGAAGAAGTTACAAAAGATGTGTTTAAGTGAACAGGAAATGAGAACACATTGTGTTTTCCTAAGATGGCCATAGCAACGTCTATTTGTCATCTCCCATGCCTGCTGCTATGTGATCTTATTCTCCGTCCAAAGGTAGGGTCAATTCCCTTCTTAAATCTGGACTGGCCTCATGACTCTTGCTAAAGAGAGAATGTAATGGAAGTGATGACCATGCTGATTTTCAAGGTTAGGCCAGAAAGGGCCATGCAGCTTTCTAGGATGTCCCACTTAATGGTGGAGTAATAGAAGTTACACAAACAAATGCAACACTAAAGGTGTCCAGCTATTCTGAGACCTCCATGTTAGAGCCCCTCCAGACAAGCCCATCCTCTTACTGAGCGGCACTGAGTGACATATTCAGTGCACAAGATGTGCAATAATGGCCCAGCCAAGCGTTACCCAAACTCTTTACTATAGGGTAGAACAAAATGCTTGCTGTTGGAAGCCACAAAATTGGTTTGTCATGTAGCAACTGGAACAACATTGTACCAAGAAGGAGTGGGATATATGAATGAGTCACTAGTGAGGAAGTTGGTGGACATATTTGTTCAAATACATACTGACTTTAAAAAGTTGGATGGAACCGGGTGCTGGTGGCTCAACACCTTTAATCTTAGCTACTCAGGAGGCAGAGATCAGGAGGATCGCAGTTCATACTCAGCCTGGGCAAATAGTTCTCAAGACCGTATTTCAAAAAACCCTTCACAAAAATAGGGCTGGTGGAATGGCTCAAGGTGTAGGCCCTGAGTTCAAACCCCACTACCAGAAAAAAAAAAGTTGGATGGGGTTATTAAAAACAGTGTGATACTAAGGCATTGTCCACAATACTGTGGAAGCTGGTGTGGAGTGCAGGAGAGGGAAACTGATGCTTACTCTGTCTAGGGCCCTCCTGTGGTCTGGAAGCCTGCTAGAGACTGACTGTGAGTGGGAGGTGTCAAAGAAAGGAAATGGAACATACAACTTTTGAAACAGTAGAGGGAAAAATTCAACAAAAATTACAAAGTAGAAAGAAAGAAGCAAGGAAAACCATAGAGATCAGTGCCATTATAACTGTAATGATAATAAATATAAATAAGTGAATTTTCGTCATTAAAAATAATAATTATGTTTTAAAAATACAGTCAAATGACATGGAAGCAATGCTAGGAAGCTATCCTTATCTCAACTAACAAAAACGCTTTGTCTTTCTTATTATTGTTTATACTTTCTCTTCAACAAAATTAGAGATAAGGACAGAAAAGATTCTGCCTGGTGTGGGGGGGAGATGGAAGGGGCGGAGGAGGGGGAGAGTTGAGGGGGAGAAATGGCCCAAACAATGTGTGCACATATGAATAAGCGAATAAAAAAAAATCCAGTCAAATGTTGTTTTGCAATATGCAAAACAACCCAGAACAGTTAAAAATATGACAGAAAAGATGTACCAGGAAAAAAAAGAAACTGAAAGAAAGTAGGTGTGACAAAATTAATATCAGGCAAAATGGAATTTCTACATGTTTTACTGAGAAAAAAGGACATATGTGCTCTGGGAAATATGTGTACAAGGATGTTAATTGCAGCATCATTTGTAATGGTGAAAAATGAAGAACTATCATAGGGAACCATATAGCTAGATTGTAGGTATTCATATGGAGACACTGAACAGCAGTTGTCAGAAACAAGCTAGATCTGTATGGGTCAGCACCTCCATATTTCAGAAGGACTGAGTGAAAGAAATAAGTTGCAGGTCATATGTCAATGTGACATTCCTAAACACAAAGAATACATGTGGACTTCTAAGTTTTCTTCTAATTCTGCAATTATTTCATCCCTTTCACAGCAATAGGCTGTGTTCCCTTGACTGTGCATTTGAGTATCTGAAGAATTGTGCCCAGAAATTGTGTATCTTAGCATATAAACTGGCTGTCATAGCATTTGATGTATCCTAAGAAATGATCACATTTGGAATGCAGAAAGCTGTGATTCTCCGGTCGAGTAATTTGTAGAAGAAAGTGTTTACTAACCAGTCACAGTCTGCTCAAGGCTATAAGATAAGCACATATGCAAAATCTTCAATGTGGCACCGAGAGGCACAGGTGTCCTGAGAAGATGTTTGTTCAGCAGTAACTTTGTACTAGGCTGTAGGATTTATGCACATCTGGCCTGTTAGTTATAGAGTAACTAGATGTTAAATTCACAAATGCCTTCAGATGTGAACTTCACAGGCATTGAGAATCTGCCACGTACAGAGCACTCCACTTAACATGGTCGTGAACCTAAAAATGAACGAGGACTCTCAAGGAGTTTACAGAGCACTGGAGGGTGAAGGTAACCATGCAACAAGCAGGGTAAGTTAAGGGCCAGGAGAGTGAAGCACTTTTCCTCGTTAGTGTGAATGCAGAATGAAATTGTTCTCACTAGAGGGTTGGGAGTTGGAGGCTGCTTCAGTTTGGGTGACTAAAAGTGGCCCAGCAGTTTCTTTTCTGAGCCATAGCTCTGTTTATTACTGGATCCTCTCCCACCTCCTTAAGGAGAATGTTGCTGTGCATTAATCCTTTTGAAGCTTTTTAATGGTGTTGTAGAGACGATTATTTAAGCATTTAAAATGCACACCACATAGTGTGCTTATTTTAGAGGCTGCAACGGTTAGTTAGCCACTGGAAAGTAGCCATTGGTTTTGATGAAGGGAGGAACTTTTATATGTTATGACAGAGAGTGGAAAAATGCTTCAGTGAGGTGGGCTGGCATTTTAAATTGGAGCACAGTGACAGCTAAAAGTGCTGAAGTCAACAGACTTCTTAAAAATATGGCTATCATTTGCTGAGAGAGGCCTTTCAAAGTGGCCACAGACACGCTTTGCAACCACAGCCAGTCAGTTTTTCCCTAAATGTGGGACTCTGACCCCAATTGATGTGAGCAAGAGCTATGTTCTTCCAGAAAAGGGAGAGGTAGGCCATCCTGAAATCCAGGATGAGTAGGGAGTAGGTGGATAAACAGAATGTTGTAATAGACTTACACATTACATGAGATTTAAGGTGGAAACCATGCAAAGGTGACAGTGCTCTTCTGAATCTTACCGGGCTTAGAACCTTTCTCCAAAGTGATTACAAGAAGAATTGTGTGTTAGTCTGTACAACTGGAAGAAGATAAAGGAGGTAGAATGATGGTATAGAAGCGTGTCAGAGGTGACGCTTGTCTTAGGACTTGCATAGTATAAACAAGATGACCATGTGACCTAGAGGATCAAAAGTCCAAGGAAAAGCATCAGCAGATAGGAAAAGTTCTGTCCTCACAAGGAAGAGGGAGATGGGTGATCCTGGGCAATTACTCTGCCTCTTTGACCTCATTGTTTTCTGTTGTGAAGCTACAGCTTTGGATTGAATGACCCCAAAGACTATCCAGTCCCAAAGTCAATAAATCAAAGACTAGTTAAAACAGGTAACAAAGGGCTGGGGCTGGAACTCGTGGTAGAATGTGTGCAGATCCCTGGGTTTGATTCTTAGCAGTGGGAGAAAAAGTTAGTTTGTTTTCTAAGATGGCTGCCCTTGAGGATGCTTGAAATATTGGGAATAGGATGGAGTTGCTGAGAAAGAGAAAAATGCCAAATGAAGCAAGGTTCCAAAATAACAGTAAATGGAAAGAGGTGGTTTGGGGGAAGTGTTTCTTTCCTATCTTTGTTTCCTTCCTTGTAGGGGGATCAGTTAGTATTACACTCTTGTCCTGTGTCTTTACTTCTGTCCCGGGGAGAGCAGTGACTTAGTCTGATAAACTTGGGCATGCTCTGCTCATCTACCCTTTGCTTTTGGGCTGCAGTCCTGACCACAGAGCTGTTTTTTACCCTTTCAGTGCTCAAGTCTTACCTGGGGGAGACTACCCTCTCGAAGGTCTGACCTGACCCAACATTGCCTGCGACCCTGTGGGTATCCAGTTTGGGGATCCAGTGTCTAGGTACCTTTGGCTGTCCCAGGAAGCCATGTTCTCCAGGTCAGCTCTCATTAGTGACAAATGGTGGCATCTTGCTTTCCCTTTGCCATGTCTTCTCTGTACTTCCTGTTATGTTCAGAATTTTGATGGGAAAGAACAGTGCTGTTTATTTGACTCTCTCAAGACCCCAAAGCTGGGATTTAGAGGGATAGAATTAGCTTTGTTGAGAATTAGGGGAAGGCAATAGTTACAAAAACCTGGAGATACTTTGAGGTATGATTGTGTTTCAGATATTCAAAATCATCTCAGTAAAGCAGGGGCTCAGATAATCAGCCAGGATGAGTCAGCAGCCATGGAACTGGAAAATTAGAAGGAAAGACTCAGAATGGTTGGTGTGGAGAAAGTACTGAAGAGTCCCCGAAGAGAGCCAAAGGATCACAATTCAGGGTGACAGACATTTGAGCATTTAAAGAGCTCACCAGTTAGGCGTGGTGGTGCATGTTAGTAGCCCTGGCTACTCTGGAGGCTGAGGCAGAAGAATTGTGATTGCTTCAGTCCAGGAGTTGAGGGCCAGCCTGGGAAACAGAGGGAGATCCGTTTCCTCAAAAACAAAGATAAAAAACTATACGACACAGCACACTTATTTCAGAAGCAGCAATCATTAGTCACTGAAAAACTAGTGCTTTTGATACCAGGCTTGGAAGGGCAGGGCTCTCAGGCAACTTCCCACCTTGTTCTCGGCCCTTGTTCCCCACAGTCAAAAGAGGCAAAAACTCTGTAGAATGTGTTTTATTCTTAAATTATACAAATTTTCAGATGAAAATAGATGAGGGAATCTACTAGGGTACACAATGAATGGTTATATCGCTTTGATATAAATGCTAAACTGTTTTTCTTCAAATATGATAGGTTAGATACCTACTTACTCTGTGTGTGTATGTACATGTGTGTACATGTGTGCACTTTCAGGTTATTTTTATTCAGTTTTTTTTAAGCTCAACAGTAAAATACTGCATGTTAGCTCCATATACCAGCAGGATGAAGTTTTTGTTGTTGTGTGTGTGTGTTTGTTAGCGTATAATAGTTGTACATTGTGATATTTACGTATGTGCTTACACTATATCTTTTTTGGGGGTATAATTGGGGTTTATTAAAAGTTATGGAAGGGAAACACAAGTGGAAACTGGGAAGCAGAGAGCGTGATTGTCTTCTTCAGGTGCTTTTAAAACTTACGCTAACCTATGGGAAGGGAGGTGCCACGTGATTCCATCTAATAATCAATGAGTGGGAAGGGAATGGGTGGTTCCCAGGCCAAGTGAGGGTGGTCCCTGAGTCAGAGCATGGTTAATCTAAGTTGTAATATTTTTCTGTGAGTCCTGAACATTGCCTGAGTTTAGCCTGCCTCATTTTCCTCCTGAAAAAGAAGATCCTGAAAAAAGCTTTTTGAGGTTGTTGAGGGACTGGAGCTCTCTTTTTCTTCTGAATCTTCTTCAAGCTGACAAGGGGCAACAGACCCTACCTACAAGGGGAATAGCATCTCTCCTATTTCTTTCCCTTGGGACTCATTTAGACACAAGGTGTCTGAATTATTATCCAGCACAGTCAAGGTTTTTCATGGAGATATATGTTGTTCATAGAGATCTCGTTTGTCTGTAGACATCGTTAGTCCCATCGTTTCATGATTTGGGCCCAAACGACTTCTATTCATTTCTCCTGGCTGACTTCACCACATGTTGGTGGTGAGGTAGAGTCTGTGATCAGAAGACTTCCAAGTCCTTGTGTCAGCGGGGAAGAATCCATGGCAGGACATGTGGGTAAAAATGGGGTTTATTAAAAGCTAGGGAAGGGAAACACGAGGGGAGCATGGTGGGCACGGATGGAATCTGCACGCAGAGAGCTTTACACTGTATCTTATTATTCACCCCTCCATTGTTCTCCCTCATCCCCTCCCCCATGAAGTTTTATCATCACTGTTTCTCATTGCATAGATAAAGTCAAAGATTATTATCCACTAAATGGCAAGTTCAGTCACTCTGAGCAGAAAATAGTATACCTTAGCTATCCCCTGAGCTCATTGACTTTTCTTGGACCAAGAGAAATACCAGCTTCTACATAGAGAAATCTAAATATTCTTTACATCCCTGATTTCTCTCTGTTCCTACTGCCTTTAAACTCACTATCACATATAGTTTGGTGGGAGAAAATAGGGGCCAGGGAAGGATTTGAGATGCAGTTGCACTTAAACTGGAGTGTGGAGGGAGACTAGGACTCGAGAGGTGGGAGCCAGGAGCACCAGGTATGGCAGCAGGTGCAGTGCAAAAGGCAGGGCAGCCCAGGCTCAGGCCCTCTTCAGGGAGCAGTGTCTTGAACCACCTCTTTGGCTAAAGGACAGGGATGCAAAGGAAGTACTGTTTACATAAAAATAACTTCAACCTGGGTTGTGCAACACTGCAGGAGGCCACATTTTTTAAGGTGAGGTGAGACTTCAAAGAGGAAATTGTCTGTGGAGAGGTAGAAATTAAACATTCAGTGGGGCTGATTGCTAGAGTGAGATTGTAGAAAGTAAGGAAAGGAAAAGCTCTAGAAGAGACAGTAGAGTCAGAAGGGAAGTGAGTTACACGAAGTTGGGGGGTGCTCAGTTTACTAGAACAGTCAAGCAAGCAGTGTTTCCTAGTTGATAATAGACTGTCCCCGATATTAAGAAATACAAAAACCATTTTAAATAATATATCTACTCTGTCATAGTTTTTATTTATTTTCTCCTGGAATTCTTTTTCAATTTTGGTAAAAGAGTAAAAAAAGAACAGCATATGGTGTCCCACATCAGGGAGTGAAATAACTTCAAATTCTTTTTCTTTTAGCTGTACTATTATATAATAAGAATACATTTTGAATCAGAACTTTTATGAAGACCTTGTACATTTTATTATAACATCTGTTTCTACATTTTCATCTCTCTCCTTCCTTTTATAGGTATTTGCATACTTTTTTTCAAATGAGAAAACCTTTTGTTTGCCACAAGAAGGCTATTATCCAGAATGTTAATGGGCTTTCAGCTATTAAGATGTAATGATATACCTTGAGTATTTAACTATAAATTTGAAAAATCTCCACGAACAATCTCAAAGGAATACTTAGAATGCACTCCTGGTAAATTGGCTCATTTTCCCGTAATTTACTGGAAGTGCTGATATGAGAGCAGTCCTAATGTGAAAAGCACATTAATCCCTGGAGTTACATTGTATGTATTAAATTATTACTCTCAAAGACTAGAATGTATGAGGCTGTTTAGCCCTCATTCACACTTGTTACTTAGAATCACAGTAGAGAAACAATCACTTACCCTTTGATGCACAAAATTAGAAGTGATACATTTAATATCTTTTAAAACAAGAGGCACAGTGATGTTCAGTTACTTTGTATAACAACTGCTCTTTTCCAAAAGGAGGGCTGTTCTAGTTAGGAGTGAGATTGTTCTGGCGTTGTGGAGGCCCATTTCATTCCACTGGTAATTGAAATATTTTTAGAAACCCGTAATACAGCTCTCTTTCATGTCAGTCAAAAAAGATTAATCTGCCTTCTGGCCCTGAGCATCTGCCACACTGGGGAATATTAAAGATGGTCCTCAACTTGCAGGAGCTGTGATTGCAGGAGCATTTAGGGTCTTACTTGGAATTTTATCTACTTGTGTTTTTTTTTTCTTCACCAGGGGACTGAAAGTTATGGAAACCAAACTTGTGACATGAGGTGTTTTTTTGGTAAGCAGCCATTTATGATTCTGGAGGAGTAAAGCAGATAGGAGCTCTCAGACGTCCAGGTACCATGGACACAAAGCTGGACCCTTCCCGAGATGACCTGCCCCTCATGGCCAACACCAGTCACATGCTTGTGAGGCACTACACACTGGATTTAGATGTGGACGTTGAGAGTCATGTTATTGAGGGCACCACAGTGCTTTTCCTGGAGGACGAGAACTCACTCAAGAAACGGACTCGCTCCACCCAAGAAACCTGCCAACTGGAGGCAGAGGAAGCCTGCAGACTGAGGACCCCTGAGCCCTGCCATGTTCCTATGACAAGTGCAAGGTCCTTCTCATGTAAAGTGGGATGCAGTGATTTTGCAACCTTTGGTAAAGGTGAAAAAGATCCTTCTGCTAAAGATGGTAACCATGACAACCAGGAACAGGCTTCTGGGATCTCTAGCTCAAAGTACTGCTGTGACACAGAGCATCATGGGAGAGAGGATTTTTTGCTAGTGTTGGACTGCTGTGATTTATCTGTGTTAAAGGTTGAGGAGGTGGATGTTGCTGCTGTGCCAGGAATTGAGAAATTGACAAGGTCTCCCAAGCTCACAGGTGTCTGTGAGGAGCTGAGGAATGAAATCGTTGGTGAGCTTGTGACTCTGCCTGCACATCATTGGCGGGAGCAGTTAGACTACTACGCTCTCTGCAGCCGGGCTCCAGGCTGTGGAGAACTCTTCTTCGACACTGATGCTTGGAGCTTACGGATCAGGAAAACAGGAGCTCAGACAGCTATGGACTTTCCTCACGCCATCAGGATATGGTACAAAACCAAACCTGAGGGACAGTCAGTTACTTGGACCTCCGACCAGAGTGGCAGGTAGGTTATCCGAGTGCTTTGCAGCCCACTGGTCTTATATTTCAGGGATGCTCTCAGACAAGGGCCAAGTCTGCAGAGACACTCCTGTTTGTTCTGTGCCACAGCAGATAAATTCCCAGGCATGCTGAACCTCTAACAGGATTATCTCCTCTAAGTCAGGATAAAAAGAGTACTTTATTAAGTTCCAGTATTTCTGAGTTAGTAGATTGAAAAGCAAGCTCAATGATGAAACTCTGAGCCTGGCTCTTGGTTGAGATCACTGGCGATTTCCAGGGTGTTGTAAAATTCCTTCACTGTCCGCAAGAGAGTAGATTGCTGTGAAGTTGGGCCAGTGCTTTCAAATGAGGGCAGCTCTGCTTTGTGACTTTCCTACTGCACCTGCCTCCCTTGGCTTTGTCAGTTGTCATGTGGTGTACACCCCAAAGTATTCGAGAGATTTGTTTCTGAGGCGTCCTGCTGAGACAGCGCTCTGGCTCCTTTGAGTGTGACTCTTGGTACTCGGTCCCAGGAAGACCCTTGTTTTTTAGTGCAGGGAGGCATTGTTTTTCCTTTTCATCCTGCTCCTCCTCACACACGTGTCCAGGTCTTTAGAATGTGAGAATTTCTAGATCAAATCTGACCGTTCTCATGTGCTGCATGCAGGTCAAGCAGTCATGCGGTGATCACGGCAGAGCTGGGATGGAGGGATGGTGAGCCGGCCAGCTGCCTTTGAGAGCCTTTGTGATGAAGCAGTGCTTTTCAGTGACTGCTTACATTTCTTCTTCAGCCACCCCGCCCCTGCTGCAAAAAGAAAAAGAAAAAAAAAGACCCCTCATAGTTTTTGACTTTGAGCTCTAATTATCCTGTTCTTTGCCTCTAATCTTACCTCCTGCTCTGGTCTCCAGCACTCAGAATGAGTTCACTTCCTGTCTTATTCCTCCTAGCATCTGAGCAGCCTTTGGGAAATTGCAGGGTTGGTGCAATTTACACAGTCCAAAAGCATAGTGATTTATTCCTAGAATAACTTACTGAGTGTTCTTTGGAGACTGTGAGGGAAAGAAATAAGTGTTCTTATTGTATCTTCAAAAAACTTTTAAGTTATTAAAGATAGGATTTTGAATAAGATTTAACTGTATAATGTCTCTGAATATTTAACTAGGAAATTGTAGTTTTTATACTCCCAGGCATTTTATTTCTGAACTAGAATAATAAGGAAGACAGCACTTGGGAGAAATATTTTTTTTTTTTTAGAGGTCAGAAAGATTTTATTTATAGAGAATTTAGTTGGAGAAAGAGAAGAGAAAGACTGCATATTGGAGAATGCAGGGGGACCTAGAAACCAGTGATCCCTGGGAGAACTATTAATGGCTCATGATTTCCTCTCTGAAGTGCTTACTGTGGTAGACTTTTGAATTAAAGTGCGTGCAGAAGTATCAGGAAGAAATGACTTATGGATAAATACTAGCTAGCTTCTATAAGAGACCAGGGGAGTTCTTGGGCACATTTTGTTGTTCCAGAGGTTGACATTGTGAATTTACTCCTGATGTGTCTTTTTTAGATGGCTCAGTAAAATGTGTGATCACAGTAGAGGTTATACTGTATTCTGGCAAGTTTATGACATTTAGTGTTTTAGTGTCATTTATGCAGTCGTAAGAGGGTGATAAAGTGCTAATTTTAAAAAGGAACCCTAGAAAGATGTTTTCTCCCTTTTTTGGGGGATGTGTGTTTTAGTTAAGGTGATCTTCCATGAATGGCTGCAAAAATCTCAATGTTCTCATGCTCTTAAGAAATCTAACTCTGCACAGGTAACTGTTTGGATACTTGAAAAATGGCCAGCTGACTAAAGATTACAGGTTGGTAAACAAAAGTAGTTGCTTAACAGTGTGAGTGAATAGCAATTGTCATGATCACAAAACCTTTTGGATGTAATTGTGTAAAATTATAAAATTTCACACGTGAGAATATAATGTGGAAGAGCTTATTTCCTACAGGGCGCAGAGTACACAGTTATGAAAAGTGAAATAATATTTACTCTTGAATGGCAGAATACTGTCAGCATTTTCACTGTGAATTGTCAGGCCTGGGTGAGAACCTTTATCCCCACTTACTGTATACAAACTCGTCAAGTACATTTAAAAATAAATAAATAAGGCTGGCTTTCAATACATTTCTATTTTAAAGCCAAGGTTTGGTAAAAACTTAGGAGAATCTCGAAATTGGAACCCTCTAAGGTTCAGGGGTCCATGGGTGGCTTCTATCTACCCCCATCCACCTTTGCCCTACTATGGTAGAGAGTAAACCTTAAGGGCAGGGTTGGGCCTGGCTAGCAAGCACAAGGCCCTGAGTTAACCCTAGCACCACCAGAAAACTTTTATTATAAATAAGTCAATAAATAATTATTTAGAAGGTCAGACATTCTCAGGACAGGATACAAAACGTGACACTGTCTAACTATATTGTGAATATATGGGACATCCTCCCTGCAAACTTCCTTACCTAGGAAGTTTGCTGTCCTAAGTAACTTTGCTTCTGTTTTCCTTTTATGGTGTTGGGGATAAGAGCAGGGCCTGGTACGTTCCAGACAAGTGCTCTACCACTGAGCAACACTCCCAGCCAGCCATAAGTAACTTTAGAAACAATGGAGTCTGAGAGATGATAGGCAAAAGGAAACATCTGTAAGTCTTGTAGTGTAGTTCATAAAATTGTTTCCCAGAATAACAATTCTGATTCCACTGTACATGTATGCTGGAATTGAGCAGTTAAGCAAATGAATGGTAGAAAGCACAGAACAGCTTTCTCTGTTGAAGTGAGAGGTTGTATGCGGGCAAGGGGAGTTGGCTAGAGTGATCCATGTCATGATGGATTAAGAGTTGGAGATATCACCACGAACTCAGGTTTAGCATAATATAAATATGATGCATGAAATGTAGAAAGAATTATAGATGTGTGTGTTTCCAGAGGTTAGTACACACACAGCTTCTTTTCTTGTCAGAAGATCTAGAAGCAACAAGGACACCTAGCAACTGGAGCTGGTTTCTGTGATCATTCTCCAATTAGAGGAGCAAATGTTTCTTGGAGAAATGGCTCAGATGGGGGCAGGAATATACAGGATGAGCGGGGAACATCTCACAGTGTCAGAAAGTGAGGAAGCATTCAAACAGCAGCAGCAACCCAGCATGGTGGGGGTACGCCAAAGGGACAAGTAGCCATCTGAAAGAGGACCTGATGGTCAAAGCTGAGTAACAAAATATGTAAAGTAGCTTTGGATGGTAATCCAAATTATGAAATAAGTGTCCATGCGTCCAGACTGATACAGATGCTTGCACAGGTAACTAGGTGCAGAAGAACAGACAAATTCATGGCAGAGTTCCAAATCAGGTCCATACATACCTCAGCCTGGAGGAGCTGGAAGGAGCTCTGCACTCCTTCAGTGGTGACTACACATGGCTCCCTTCCAGAGAAATAGTCCAGAAACAGGGAGGAAAGAGCAGCTTCACCTTGGAGAAACCTGGGAGGATGACATCAGCAAGGTGAGCAAGGTCAACATCAGCAGAAAGAAGTCATGTTGAAAGTATGAATCCTGAGTATGATGGGGTAAAAATGGCATCTTTGTGGTCTTTCTCCCAAAAGTTCGTAACTCCACTCTCATCCTGAGAAAAGCATGAGGTAAGTCCTAACTGAGGGACGTTGGACACACACCTGATCTCTTCCTTAAAACTGTCAAGGCCAGCATAAACAAGCAAAGCTTAGCTAGTGTAAGAGTCAAGAGGAGCCTGCCATCTTGCTGAAAGTTACACAGTAGTAGCCAGGCATGGTGGCTCACACCTATAATCCCAGCAATTGGGACAATCACAGAGGTACACAGAGAGACTCAAACAAACAAACAAAAAATACAAAGAGAAAGAAAAGTAATTTGATGTCCTCTAACAGGAAAAAAAAGTCTGTTCAGGAAAAACAGGAAATCTGAATGGAGTCTGTACTGTGGTAGTCACCTAGTGTGAGACACGCACTGATGTAAGCTGACAATAGGGAGAGCTGGACGTGGGAGGGCATGGCACTGTGTGTATTATCTTAAGTTTAAAACTGCTCTAAAATAAAATTTTATTACAAAATAACTTTAAATTGGGGAAGAGGTCACTGTCTTTCTATCCCGCTCTTACCAAGGGGCATTGTTCTCTAGGAATGATTCAAAGTGTATTTGAACCCCTGCCGCCAAGTATATACCACAGAAGAGAGAGGGATGACTCTTTTTAGTTAATGTCAGTCATTTCTTCTTCTTTGTTGTTTTTCTAATTCTGAAAGTAGGACACTCGAGTTTTCTGTCTCAGTTTAGCCACTTTGGGGTTATGCCAGCTCTTGAACCTAAAGTTCCCTTTCTTGTTTCCTCCTCAGACACTGGATTGTAGGTGACATTTAAGAATGACTGATGGAAGGCACACTTATGTAACCATCTGATACAACATGCTTCTTGGAAATAATGTTTACTTTTATGTGCTCTGTATGTGTGTGTGTGTGTGTGTGTGTCCTTTAAAAATATTTGGCTGAGAGCAGGGACAGGGTCAAGACTGTGTAAATGTGCTCTTGCAAAGCTAGAAAGGAACCAGACTTAATACCTTTTCTATTCTAAATCTTTAATATGCCTAAGAAAAAACTTTAAAAGAGGCAATCTTCATTAGAAGTTCATGTTTTTTCATCTGCCTTGCATTTCTTGCATGTTTTCTATCCCACTGAATCAAACGTCATTTAAACCAAAGGGAGTCTGTTCCCTTTCCCTTAGGCTCATGATGGCCTTAGGGCAGCCATATGGTCTAGGAAGTATGGACTTAGCTGTGACATCACTGACAGACTGAATGGAAGGAAATTTATTTAGAAAGTACAATTGAAGATAAGCAGACTAACTGAGAAGATGCATTGTAGGTTAAAGTAATATTGAAGCTTAAACTTTTCTGAAGCACTGCTGTTTCTTTTTTTAGGACAAGATCAGGGTGAAGTTGGCAAAGCACTACTTTTTCCTGTATAGT